TTTTTTTTTTTTTTTTTGGGTAAAATGTAAATTTATTACCTAAAACTCAATGATACAAAGCAACACACAAAAGGTTGCTGCTAGTCCTGTAGTACACAATGAATGAATCAATCAAAAGAAATGAAAGAACAATGTAACTAACTATCTCTCTGTTAAAAAAATTAGAGTTTCTATGTGTCATCAATTAGAAGAAGGTATTTTCAGCTGGATTGCTGCTTGGCTACTTTCAATCTCTAGAGACTATTGTGGTTAGATGGTGTTCGCAAATGGAGGAGCTGATATCGCCATCGGCATATGATTAAGAAAAAGTCACTCTACCCAACTTACAAATCTTGGAACTAACGGAATTGTAGTCACTGAAGATGGACTAGCATTGTAGTCAGAGTATACTCCTCTTTTTTTCTTTTCCCTTTCTCTTATGTTTTCTTTTAAGATTTGATGTAGATTTCTCCAAACTTTATCACATTTTCCTTTTGTTGAAAAATGTGAGCATGTTCTAATTTCTAATCCTTCTTCTACCGATCTAGCCTTAAAACTTTCTTTTGCATGTGGAGGATTATTATTAGCAAGATTGTCTTAGTTACATCTAAGCAAAAAGGACCTGTTAGATTCCAAACCTAATTCTGATTTGATTTCATGTTGGATTATTGGTTATGTTAATTATGTTTTTACTTGGAGATATGTTTGTGAACTTGTGCTAATGGTTCTGTTATGCTGATGTTGTAGTTTACCACCCTGAGGTATTGATACCGTATAAGATGGAACACAATGGGAAACATCTACAAATCTATCTGATTTATGTGAGATCTCAAAAGCTTATCAGTTATGTGTATGTTTATGCCTTCGTGATGTTAACATCTACGGTTGTTCCAATGCTATTTAGTTTATTTGTGCTAGTATAGTCATCCAGCTATAGCTTTGTTGCCTCTAGCTATTTAAACCTAGTCAATTTTGAATGATTTGAGCTTTTCTCTAAAGTGGTTACTAGATTTTTTAGAGTTTATTTAAATGTTCCTCTAAACTGAGAGTTTATTTGTGCAGGGAGTTCAATCTGAAGATTCTACATCAAAGAAGATAGAGAGAAAAAGGTTTCCTTCTCCACTATTTAATGTATCATCTCTTCTACTCTTTAACATTGGAATACAGAGAATACAAAATAGAAGACAAATAAAACTTTACCTTTTGAATTTAGATGGAATTACTACCGTCTTACAACTTTTTTTGGTAACTTACCTAATAGTTCTTACACGGAACCGTCTAGTGTAAAATAATAACTAGTAACTTAACAGGCACTCCATGTTGCAGTGAATTCCAGCCCAAACAGCTTGAAGAAGAAATTGGCAGTGCACTGCCTTTTATATATAAAAATTAAGACTTTAGAGCTTTCTTGGCCTCTCTGTCTCTGTTTTTCCACCATTCTAATCCTATTCTGACATTCTCAGCATGCAAACAACTCTCAGATCCAAGTAGGCAATTGCAATTCGTCAGGTATCTGGTTTGTTAACATATTTCCTCGTCTTATATATATCGTGCAGGTGGACAATGCATTGATGATTTCTGTTATCTAAACCAATGGTTTTTGACTCGACTTTTTCCTCATACATTTAACTCTCTGTAAATTTATTGACATAGGCATAAACATAAGTGTATGCCTCACACTTAAAAAATTTAATTGTGGAGCATTCCCCCATGCGGCCTAAGGGGCTATGCTTCTCTGTGTGAGAAGCAAGGAGGAGCGCAGCACATGATCATCACATCGACTCCTCAACTGGTACTCGAACAGATACTAATTTACTAACTATGTTTCCTATGGTCAAAAAAAAAAATTAATAATTGTGGAACCGTGAATCATGCAGTACTTATGTTCTGCTTGCTGCTTTCCTTAGGGTTTTTGGCAAATATTGAGATGATAGCAGAGGGAACCTTTAGAACTTTCTTTGTCCTTTTTAAGTTTTTGCTAATTGTTACAGTTCTTTGTCCTTTTTAAGTTTTTGCTAGTTGTTACAGTTTGGCCGTTCATTTTCAATCCTCGTTGCTCTACCTCTAATTTGCTCTTGAAGATGTCTACTATGGACATGAAATGATTTCCCAGATTTCTAAAGATGACTCCTTATTTGGTTGCATTTAAATACTCCTGTTCAGTGACTTGCTAATGGTGCTTAAAGGCTTTTATGCTGATGCAGTATTTTAATTATTTGTGGTATATGATGTAAAAAGTTAAGAACTTTCTTTGTCCTCTTTCTTAAATGTTCTGGTTTTGCCATTCATTTTCAGTCCATGCATCTCTGCCTCTTATTTGACACAGTTTCAACTTAATGGTTTCCATATGTGCCCTTAAAGATGTCTGCTTTGGCCTTGAACGCGTTGCCTCAATTTCTGAAGGTGACTGCTTGGTTACATTTGGAGACTCTTGCTGTTTTTATTTTATCAATGCTTCTTTTTATTTGGGGGTTGAATGGTAAGGATTTGCTAATAGTGCTTAGAGGTTGTTAATTTATTCTGAAACAGTTTTATTTGTGGTATTGAGATAGTATATGATGTTACATAGCGAGAAACATTTGCAAATCTATCAATATGCTGATTAGAAACGAAAAGGATCCTCTTGATTGACTTTCCTGGAATTGGTTACCAGAATGGACCCTAAAATGGATATTGTTCTAATAGGTGTGGTATGTACGTTTAGTGAGACTGGAGATGTTTCATTGGGTTTTCGATGTCTATTTGCTATTTTTTTATGTCGTGTATTTGAATGTCTATTACTTTTTTTCCTCTTTCAGGTACGTGTAATAAATATGGAGGATGCTTCTGAACATTTTGAAGAAGTTTAGAAGCATGTAAAGAAGGAACACTGGGAAAGAGCATACAAGATAAAGCATTGATCAATTCAGTGTGCCTAGTACTATGCCTGGATTTCTCGTTGCAGAAGCTGCACCAGTGGTTCCATGCTTGGATTTCTTGTTGCAGCTGGAAAATATATAATAGATCCGGATCAAGCTCCAAGAGAGCAAGTAAAACCAATTGCTTATCTTCACATGATTCTAAAGTTCAAATTATTACTCAATGATGGTATGCAAGATGGAATGGTTGGGCAGCCTGGTTTGAATTTGTAAGCAAGAAAGGAACCTAAAGCCTCATTCACAGAAATTTCCTTCTCTGCATTTGCCATTTCCACATTACAGATTGTTGAATACCTGCACCAACTGAAAAGATGGGAACATTTTTTTTTTCCTTGGCCAAAAGTATGAGTGTTGTCTGAGTCAATTAATGCTAAATAGTACCAATTTTTTTGCAACTGGTAAGATATGTAACATACATCTTTTTAGACCATCCTCCTGAACCAAAGACGAGTTAAAAATGGAAAATCAAGAATTTAAATTTATGCCCTTTGGTTTATTTTTTTACTATTTATTAGATTATTCTCTCGTTATCCCTTCTTGTGTAATTAATCATAAAATATTCTAATTATAACTTCCTATAAATTAGCTTCTAGAACTACTCGTGTCTTTTCTTGGGGTACTCATGCTTACCAAGAAGGGATATGGTTGATTAGATCTGGCAACTAATAAACTGATTATTTCATCACAAGTTTCCTTCCACGAAACAAATTTTCCATATCAACAAATTACACAGCAAACTCAGCAACCCAATCCACCTACATTTCGGTCACCTTTCCATTTACTAGATAATTTTCCCCCCGGCACACCTATCAAAATTTTGCACCAACGAAACACCATTAATGAACGAACCGGCCCAACAAAATGACCAAGCCCACCAGAAATTTCCACATCCAATCCATTCGTCCCATTATCTAAAAGTGCATTTTGGTTCACGTGTTCCTACAATTGAAGGGAAAATATGCAGTGTTTTGACATGACTAAAGATGACCATATAAATTTTATTTTTGTCCATGTAATTATTTTGATCATACAGATAACATGATCAAAGTTCATCATACAAACTTAAATTAGTACACATCAATCAAATTAAATTAGTGTAATTTAGAGGTGGGATCCCAAATTTGATAAATAGTACTCGTCCATTTATTAAAGAAATGGATCTAATTTAATTTTTTTAATTTTTTAGTATAAAATTTAAATAAAAATTTAATAATTTATATAAATAAT